CCAGTACAACCAATGCATTGTCCTACAGACCACTCTCGAGCATTAGTTGAAGATGCAGCAAGAAACTCACCTGCAAAAAAATTGCAAAAAAAGGATATTCGATATTTATACACATGGAAAGCTGTTGATGCAGAAAACCAACTAAGTGACTGTCATGAAAATATTTGACGATCTAATTAACCATTTATACCTGTTCTAGTTTGCTCATCGTTTGGTCCAGCTTCTGTTCTACTAGACTTCCCTCCCTCAACAAATCAGATTTTTTTGTTCATGAGACGTGTGTAAGGATTAGTTGATTAAAAAGGGCCTAAATGTGTACATAATGTTTTATTGATAGTAGTCATGCATGTAGGAATATTTTTTACCAATGAAAATACTCTTAACCTTTTGGAAAAATAAATAATTTCACAATACAGTGGCCTCAGCTCCAGCCCCAATGCAAAGAAGTGTGAAAGATTAATGGATGCTGTCTGTTATTAAAACTCAATAACCTCTTGTTCATTAAAAAATCAAACATACTAATCAATAGCACAAATGTCCTTGGTGAGATGGACCCAAATGCCTGTGATGTTGCTTGTCGCTCTATTTGTTATTGTTTTATTGACATACAGCCCATCACAGTAATCAGCAGAATCCATTCATAGACATGAATAAATGCAAAAGTATCATTGTATCATTATGGTCATGGTTGATCCACTTTTAACAATATTATAAGCTACCTGTAGCTTGGTTCAGTGTTTTCCTTACATTAGGGCCGTCTTTCTGCGTAGGGTCACAAGATAGATCTGAGAGGTCATTTGATGGTTTATGAGTTTGGACAAAAGAAAGAACGAAATTATTTCACACAAATCTTAACAGAGTTTATGTTCTTGTGTAATTGACACATTTTTCCCTATTACTTTATAAGTAGTTAATGTATACTGAGCTTCTTACCACCGGTAATTATTGTATCTTACACAAGAGAAGAGCTCATGTTCTAGTCTGTGAAACTGTTCATACTTTGTCAATTGGCTCTGATGTTGACCTCTAACTATAATTTGTTCTGGTCTCATCTTACTCAGCTCTCTCTATTCTCAAACACTGACACAAACCTTACTTGCAGCCAAGAGCAGAGTGTTGAGTTGTGGGAACAGGCAGCGGGCTGTGCAGCACCTTGAAACGTCGGAAGAAGGGAGAGGATTGTCTGTGTTCAGCAGACTGAAGAAAGTGAACCTGGTTGCCTCTCATTGGTATACTGAGAGGTCTGAGCTCACTGCTGCTTGATCAGTTTATTTTCTGTGTTGTAGTACTACACAGGACCCACTTTTGTTCTTAGTTGCGTGCAAGCGCAGGTATATGAGTGTACAAACGTACGTGAATGACTAAAGGATGGGACATTGAGTGCGAGGATCAAGTTCCTTCACCAGCTTACTTTCACCTCTAATAGAGCCATTGCCATTCCACAGGGGAAAGTGGTGTGTTCTGAAACAAGGTGCCGGCTGTGTATGCAGACCCCCCAGAGTGAACCTAAACCATACACCCAGTAATGGGGTTCTTTAAGAGTTTATCTGGCTCTAGTAGACACACCTGTACACTGCTCCCAGCCTCTAAATCTCCAGGATAAGTCTGTGTGTGTGTGGAAAAGGCTGCCATCCCCTAATGTGGCTGACAAACAAAACAGTAGTTCTGCCTTTATTAGCCTTTTCCTGTAATAGAAAAATGTAATCTCCTACTGGGAGTACGTTGTTGTGTATTGCAGAGCATATAGTGCATATCTGAGATTGTATTGTCTGACAAGATTAAGGATATTTCTTACGAACTAAGCAAAATAATATTTTGGGTTGATTTAACAAAAAAGCATCACTTCCTTTTAGGAATCACCAAACACAACCCTACAAATAGGGGCGGCTGTGCCACAGTGGTGGGAGTCGATCGTCTCCCTCTGTCATTCCCCTGCTCCTGCATTCCACACAATGTGTCCTTGAGCAAGAGATACTGAACCTCAAATTGCTCGCTGTGGCATTAACAGCAGCGTGTGAATGTATATGGATTGGATTACTTCATACAAGAGGTGGAACGGTTCACAGAGGTCACGGTTCAGTTTGGTCCTGGGTTTGTGGTCGCTGCCAGGTACAAAATTGTCTCAACAATAGAAAAAGCAACAAAAAGTCCTGGTTGCATATTTCTAGGTTTCTATTTTGAGCTGACAGTCATGCAAGTTACAGTTTGTTCTATCTTGTGTTATTTAGAACTACTTGTGATAGTTGATACAGTCTATAGAGTATTAAATATTAAACTACTGCATATGCGCGTATCCTAAAAATGTTTTACCTTGTGTAATGTCTCATGGCTTTTACAACAAGACTTCTATGAATTGAACTCTTCTGTCAGTAAAACTTACTTTGATCATATGTCGCAGAATGAACACATTCTGTATTATGTTTGATTATATATAAACTAAACTAAAGTTAGTCCAATGATGTCATAAAAACAACAAAGGCTGCAGAGCCTGTATGAAGCTCCAGCTGTAGGAACTCTGCAGGGCTAAAATAGAACAGAAACATTTGAAGTCTACATGTTTTTAAATGAATGCATCACTGCGTGAAAACGTTCCTGATGAACATAAAAAGAGGACACATTACTAAATCATAATTTAAAAGTGGTGAGGAAAACCTTCAAATTGTTCATAAATATTGATCAAATTGAGGGAAAGACATTTCTGTTGCTAAAGATGTTCTGGGTGAGAGACCTCCAGACCACCTACAAAGATGTTTTTCAAATAGATCAAACTTGTCAGCACAGTTTTTGTGCACTTAAACATTATACAGGGAAATAAGTTTGGTTGAACTGGTCAGTAACTTACAAATTTGTCTAAAGATCAGTATGAAAAAAATTGTGATAAAATTGTGATCGGGATTTTGCAAAAAAAAAAAATCGTGATATGATATTTTTCCCATATCACCCACCTCTAGCGTTGAGTGGTTTGAGGCTTGGAGAAGCACTACAGTTCATTTACCATCCATTATAGTACAGTGGGTACTACAACAGCCATTCCTTGGCATTTAGTGACATAGCACAACAGTCCCTCTGCAGGTCTTTCCAAGTGACTGGAGTTTTCCTGGCACTAGCCTCAAGGACCTTCCTGGCTTGTTTTCACAGACACCTTGACCTCTGCAGCAGTGAAGTAGTGGATTTCAATCTGCAGCCATTATGGTTCTCAATCAACATTTCATAGGTCTTGTGCCAGTGCCTCTGGCAAGTGTTGACTTTGACTGAAGTGACAAAGGCTGACCGAGTTTGGAATGATGCCTTTTAGTTAGAATGATTTCACATTTCTTGTGGTACCTAAAGGCCCAGTTGCATTTAGGCTCTAGCATTTAGTTCAGTTGAAAGATGGTCCCATCCAGTTTTTCGTTGGCAGCAAATACACACTGAGGAGCTGCTGACAGCCTGCCTCGGGAAAGGGCTTTAACTGGCCGTTGAAATTTGTGTGCAATGTGCATGCATTTGTGTTTGTGTATACAATGCATTTTTATCCAGTGTGTTCAACTCTTTCTGCACACCCAAATAAACACAGCAAGAGTGTATGGGGACTCATCATTCACTTTAGCTTCCAACACAAATAAGCAGAGCCTCCGAGCACATGTTGCTACTCCTCTGACAGCTGTCAATCAATCTGCTGACCTGTAAACATACATTTGGTGGGCACAGTTATTCAATCAAACTGTACAAATACAGCAAATCTAATGCTATTAATCTTTGCTTATTGACGTAACCGTGTGTTAAATTTAGAATTGGATGGAAGGACTGGTAATATCAGATTCCATAGGGAGTCTGTTTAAAAAGGTCTCTAGATGGTGTTTATTTTAAGGCCCAATGGTGGACATGTTGATGGCTTTGCATGCTTTGGGGTCCAGGACTCTTCTGTATGACCACATAACAACCTATCATTATCAGACTGAACATGACGAAACATAATGAGCCCCCAAAAGTATCGTAGCATTTATCTATATCCTGAAATGTATTATTTTTGAAACTATGCTTTAAAATGTTATTGGTTTATATTAATGTGTATTGCCAAACCTATGTTACCATGTTCACACCCCACATAAACTACATTTCACTCTCTCTTTTATCCAGCATTTGTAAACGGTCAAACAAAGCTTACTGTACTCAAAGTTTACACTCTGGTTTCCCTTCACCACATTTCTGCTGCTAAATCAACACAAAAGAATGTTGAGTAACCTCAAAGTGTGGTTCCCTGTTTCAGCTTTCTGTGGTCTGCTGGTTGTAGAATAAAGCAAAACAGTGAAAAGGGACTTTCCTGCTGTTTGAGTCAAACCTCTGTGTTTGTCCAACAATATGTGAATGCCACCCTGTAATGCGTCTACCCTATAGATTGTAGAGGAGTGTGTTTGTCTATGGTGAGGCATGGGGCCTTTGCTCTCTCAGTGGCCTCTCTGCCCTGTCTGTACATAGTTGCTGAACCAAGAAGAACATATCAAACAAACACTCCAACAAATAGCTGTAGGAAGATAGGGTTACTCTCAACATGAGAGGACTTGCATTGTGTTACTATAGGAGTACACTCCTCTGGCCTTTGGAGAGTGTTGTCCTACAAGCAATGTAGCTGTGTAAACCCAGCTAAACGTAGTATATTCATCATATCATGTCCTATATATATGGAATTACTTTGTAATAACATTATATGTAACTGTCAGAGTGCTGTTTTTATTGTCTGCCATTTGATGGAAGTAATGGACAGAAGAAAATTAGAGACTTTCTATATCTTCTGATCTACTCAGGCGGTATGAAGCCATCAACACAGCGTGACAGATACTCAGTAGCAGTTGTCTCTAATGTGTGGTGTTAAGTTACAATGGTGTTGGTTGAAAACCATCAGATAACTCCACACTGTTTGGAGGAGTGGCATGAGGAATGTGTCAGTTGTGCATACATGTCTTTGTGAAAATGTGCATGTGCCCCACAGTTGTCTTTAATCTTTTTCTGTCTCCATACAGAGCTGAGATCCACCGGCACTGCTCATCACTTCGCCTACCTTCTCAACACTTCAGATTACCGGATCCTGCGTATGGATGAGGACCATGATCGCATGTACGTTGGCAGCAAGGATCACATCTTGTCCCTGGACCTCCATGACATCAACAAGGAACCCCATATTGTAAGACAATTCCCATGCTTCCCCTCATCTGTAACCCCATCCCTCAAATGGGCTGTATAATTGCGTTGAAGGAATTGCCTTTACCTTAGTGCTACAGCAGCAGCTCTGCAGGGCAAAATGTTCCATAGTTTTGCCCCTTCAACAGCCATTTTGGTTCCCTCGTATTGAGTTTTTGTTGGAGGGCACTTTTTCAGTTGTTGGGTCATTAAAACACTATAATTGGGTTATGACTATCCCAATAGGACTTATATTTGCCTGGGTGGATGTCCCCCTTGCAATTTCAGCCCAGAAACCTCATAAATGCCAGTGATGTGTAGCAGTTTGGATTGTAACTATAAAATGTCATCTGTTCCCCCCTTGACAGATCCACTGGCCAGTGTCTGAACGGAGAAGGATGGAGTGCCTTGTGAGTGGGAAGGACGCCAATGTAAGTATGCCTGCTGACTACACTCATGAGCTCAGCAGGTATATTCAGCTGATGTGATTTCCATCCACTTGTTAGGCCAAAAATTAGAAAATATGTAGTTTTTTGAACTCATAGGGCTAAACACGTACAGCTCACTACATGTTACAATGTGACAGACCTTTGTAAATGGCACTCACCTGCAGGGTTGAGACTTGGCCCAGTAAAACTGCTAGTTCCATCGATCTAGCCAAAGAAAGAGAGAGTTGAATAAGTCACGCTCTCCATCCACCTTTCTGCCAGGCCAGGGTCAAGAGTATAACACCATGGCTAAGTTTTTGATGTATTGTCTACATAAATGTAGAGGCACAGTCTAAAAGTCTTTTAAACTTGAGCATTCAGTAAATGTGCAGGAGGTTTACCAGTAAACTATGGCTATGAATGGCTTGTTATTCAGATGCTTATAGCATTTGAATTGACTTGTTTTTTTATGTCTCCAGGAGGAGTGTGCTAATTTCATCCGCCTGGTTGAGCCATGGAACCGGACTCAGCTCTACATCTGTGGGACAGGAGCTTACAATCCAGTTTGTACTTTTGTAAACCGCGGACGCAAACCTCAGGTTAGAATTTAAAGACTTGAGAAAAGTTCTTCCCAAAAATGTGGTCTCTTGGTAAAACGACTAAGCAAACAGCTTTCTCTGTTTATGTTATGGCATAGCCCAGATTCTCCTTTTTCTTTTTTCTTTTTCTTACCCAAGTTCTTATCCTCCCTCCACCTTACTCAGAGTAAGTTACTGGAGGTTCCCTTAACAATGATTTCCTTCCATCATAAGGCCTGCTGGGGGTACCATGTTCCTGTGTCTGGCAAAGCAGCCAACAAAGCTTTAGGTGCACACAGCTGTATTCCTCAGTGAGCTGTAAAAGTTTCTCTGTTTAGTCTCAGCCTTTAATGGGACCTTTTGAATTTCTTAAAGCAAGCCAAGCATCACCACCATGCCATACTCCGCTTTAACACCTAACTATTCTTTAAATATCACACTTGTTCCCTAACAATGACCAGGGGACTTTTTAAAATGGGATGAATAAAAAGTACATTTTCCTTTTAACTCTCCTTTGAGACATACAACACAGTTTAGAGAACTTGCAACTGCAGGCACGGCTTGCATGAGTCCCTTGTTGCATTCGGTTACTTCATGACCATTTGCTTACGAAGGGCTTCCATCCATTTGCTTGCCTATCCATCCACCCCTTCATGCATCCACCCAGGCCACCCGCCAGCTTCCAACTTGTGAGATGTTGGGTAATTGGAGGTGGGAGCTCCCATTATGGGGTGCTTGTGGAATGTTCCAGTTCTAGTTCATTAATGAGATGGTTGTCTTTTTTTTCTTCAACACATTGAACAGATAGATTTGAGTTGTCCCCCGTGAGCCCCTTTCTCAGCTGTGCTTTGGAGTTAACACTGAGTGCAAAAACGTGAGGTGTTACATTCAACACAGAGCCATGCACGCAGTTCCTTACACAAATAGTGTAACTGAGTTAGTAATTATTAATTCAACATTCACATGCATTGTTGTTATTTGATTTCACCAGTGTGTGATGTATCATGTATCAGCTTTTGTAAACTGTTTCAACAGAATGTTTTTGCTTCAGCAGCAGATAAGGCATACATATAAGTAGCATACTGTGAGAGCTTTATTGACTCAACTGCAGGATAGAAAAATGTTAGAGTTGACTTTTCAACCATCTGGTCAAATAAACCTACAAAAAGTTGCTCACACATGCATTATACTGATTTCATTAGTTTTGGTTCTGAGAGGTCCTCATCGGGTCTGGAAGTCAGGATTTATTCCAGTGAAGCATATGGAAGAAGGTTCCCTCGATCCCTCCTCATAAGTGGCGTAACATCCAGACTGTGTTGCTGTCTCCTGTTTTAGACGTCCATGTATCTGCAGATGGCCCAGGCCAGAGGAAGGGCTAGCCGCGCAGCTGAACCCAGCGCTGTGCACGAGACACTTGGATTAAAGGTGCGATGTGGGCCCTGTCTGCACCGCAGCCCTGCATTCTGCCTGGGCTCGTGGCCACCAGCAGCACGCTCCCTATCTTTATGTCCGAGCACATTTTGTCTGAATCATCTTTAACTCCCCATCATTTGTTTATCTCCTTAACATTTGGCATGAATCTCGTCTAGTCCTTACACAAACCTTGCAGGCTTTGTGATGTGGAATTGCATTTCATTTCATTTCATGTCACCTCATTTTTTTTTTATCAGTGTTTCACTCATTTTTCCTTTGTGTATGCCTCATTGTCTGAACACCCTTTCATATCTGTCATTGTCCTGTTTGTGCTTTGCATTTGTGCTAAATGCCATATTTTGCATGTGAGCTGGATTATTGAATGGCAAAATCTTCACAGACTGCTGAAAAAATCATGTTGACTTTTAACAGATTTAATAAAGCAGGCTTTCACTGCTGTTCAATGCATGACATATTAATTATGAATAGCGTATATTAAGCATTTATTTAACAAAAGATACCCAAATCATTCATTGCGCTTATCTGAGAAAGGACGTCACACCCATTATTGCTTCAAACCAACGAGCCTCCACCCTCTGTAGGAATGTGGTGCAGTCTCTCCCACAGAGAAGGCAGGACTAGTCAGCATCTGACCCACTCCTGCAGCAGGCTCTGTTAGCCCAGTGCAAACACCAGCCATCTGTAGTCAACTAGCTGTGCAGCAAGGAAATAAAGAAGCCACATACTTGAACATGTCTCCATGTTTGAGCTCTCCAGGCACATTTTAACACAAAAAGGGCTTTTGAAGGACACGTGGAAACTAAAGTGAAGGGGTCACAGTGAATATGTTTGAAGTTTTTTTTTTTGCGAGTCAGATTTTCTTTTTAATGTGTCACAACTTTTCTAAGGGGTCATATTTTACAGCAGGGTTATAAAAGCATGTCTAGGGCACAGTTTCCCTCTGGTACACATAAATGTTTGTGACCTTTTTTACACATCAACATCTGGCGTGGCTGGGAGTGCGTTGTCGGCACCTCCTTATTTGCACGAGTGGTGATTTTAATCAAACTTGAGTGGAGAATTGTGAAAGGATATGTGTGTGATCCAATGAAGTGAGTTTGGCACTGTGCCATTTTCTTTCCACTGATTTAGTGCTGATGGACAACGACAGAGATGTCTCTTTCTCTGTAACCATTGGGATTGGACAGGCTCTGGTGTGTGAGGCGGGGCTGAAGGACATGTCATTGCATGCCACTGATTCATGTTCCCCCACTCTTATACGCAAATTCATGCCAATCATCTTTCAGTGCTTGTGCACAGAGAGGCCACTAGCAGTGAGCATCAGTCATCCAGCCTGCATCATGGGTTTGTTTTCACTGTGCTGGATTATAGGTGTCAGCACTAGGCCTGAAGAGCCATAGGCACCAAAGGCTGAGAGACATTTGGCATGCAGTTTATTATTCAGGGAAAAAATACTAAGACACATTGTTTTCAGCAGTACAGTGGCATAGAGATTGATTAGAAATTCCTTGCTTTTCCTGCATGTATATTTCTGTATGAATGCGTATTCATTATTCTAATACTTCAGCCCCCATCATGCAGTGTAGGATGACTCCCACAGGAGTCACTTGGAGCACACTCGGTGCCTCATTTACCCTTTCACAAGGGAATTACAGTGACAAGATGAAGAGTGCTGAATTTATTGCCATCTCCATATGATTTTTCCATTTCAGGAAGATATCTTCCATTTGGAGCCTGGAAAAGTGGAATCTGGGAAAGGAAAGTGCTCCTACGACCCGAAGCTCAACAGCGTGTCAGCTTTGATCAGTGAGTTTCATCTGGGCACGTTCACAGGAGGGTGTAAGCTCTGGTACATTAGGCCTAGAGTTCTTCATCGTAATGGCAGTGTTAGGCCACATGGATTCTTAACTTTTATGTCCTGTTTTCTTGTGTGGCCTTATTTACTCATGGCATATGCATTTGCTAAACTTTGGTACATAAATACTTTGCCCTGCACTTGAAGAAGAAGTAAAGGAGGTCAGGCCTCTTAAACTGAAAACCTGCATATGTATTACTGTACATATGTAGACTCATCAATTAAGAGAACTTGGGTGCTTGCCGAATAGTATTTCACTGTAGTCTTGAGATCTCGTTCCAATTTAAAGCCCATTGGAGGTGGATGTGTGGCTACAATTATCAGCCAGATCATCTTGTTCTACAACAATTTACAATTCACTTAGCAGACGCTTTTATCCAAAGCGACGTACATCAGAGAGTAGGTACAACACTAATCCATTCATACACCACCACCGAAGCAGCGGGAGTAATGTGGGGTTAAGTGTCTTTCCCAAGGACACATTGGACATGTTGCTCAGCTGGGGATTGAACGCTTGACCTTCCGGTTGGGAGGTGACGACTCTACCAACTGAGCCACAGCCGCCCCACAGCTGCTCCTTGTTAGACCGCACTTGCCAACACCATGACCAAAACGTTCACGGGAGGTGTTTTTTGTGAGAATCTTGTTCAGTCATCCAGCTGTCAAGATGCAGAGTAACAATTGAGTTGTTCTGGAGGCCTACACTGGCCCAACACCTCATTTACACACTAATGTTTTTTTTCTTCTTTTAATTTACCTAATGTTGGAGAGCAGGCTGTGTCATAATGTTCAAGTAAAGACATTGGACCATAATACTCAACATTAAAAGATTATTTGCTTTAAGGACTTAAAGTGTATTTCCACCTCATTCAGTCAATCCACCTTATTATTGTGAATATACATATTATACTTTAGTTTTTCATGAAGGCACTGTCCTTTGTCCCTTTGCCCAAGGGCACTCAGTCAGGTCCAGACCCCACAGTTGCCACCTGTGAAACTCGATCTTCTCTCTGTGGGGTGAGACAGTGGGTGTAAATCACTGGCAATGCTTTCCCACATTAGCACAGTGCCAGCTGACCAGTATGAAACCAGTACTGTCATCCAAGATGGATGTACCTCCCACTTCCACCAGTTAGAATCATACACGAGACACTATAGTTGGTGTTCCTAATGATTTCGAATTCTATACCACAACAATAGATTTACTGCTGACAACTGACTTCTCTGCTCTTTACCACATTAGAGGTCCAATCATCCATGGACATTTTAATGATACATCATCAATCTCCATAAAGCTTCTGAGCACCATGACATTGAATATAATGGTGTTAGGGAAGTGTTTTTTGTTTCCTCTGCGCCATCTCCTGCTGTCTTCTTACTCCATCTTTGAGAGCTGACAGTCACACCTGCTTTCCTGAGGGGCCCTTACAGCAGCTGGAGAACAAACACCTTGCCTTCCTGTGGCTTAACAAGGCTGTAGTATACATTTGTCAGTCTGCACACATGGATGTGCTCTTTATGGAGTGCACGTAAAGATTTAAGTTCATTTTACATCTCTTATCATTTCTTTATTATCACTAATTTATTACACCTAATTTTTGTTGTAATTATACAAATCTTTATCTTTCTTTAAACATGTTTTTACGATCAAACGTTAATTAAAACACCCTAGAAAGAAATATGTGTCCAAAAACTTTGCAATGCTAAGGTCCTGCATTGTAAAGTCAAGAATCCTGAGAAGATGAGCTCTAAATATACATTTTGAAATAAAAGCCTTCGTGTTTGGTGCCAAGGGAGGTGCTGGAATCAAGTCAGAGTCATGGAATTTCTAAACTTAACTTTTTTTCTGTCTTTTTTTCAGATGGTGAGCTGTATGCTGGGGTCTATGTTGACTTCATGGGAACAGACTCTGCCGTTTTCCGTACTTTGGGAACAAAGACGGCCATGCGGACAGATCAGTACAACTCCAGATGGTTAAATGGTAAATGTTCTTTGAAGCCTATAAGTGATGAATTAGGACTTCATGCAGAGTGTTAAGCTCTTCTATGTTATTTTTCAATCAACTAAAGCTAAAATGTAATGTTTGCATGTGTTTAGAATCCTTCAACAAGTGATAAACAGGAAAGGCTCACAGTTTATACGATTTCAGCCAAATGTTTCCCCAAATTCATTCTGGGCCGAAACATCTCATCACCTCTTTTCTCCACAGACCCCACTTTCATCCATGTCCACCTGATCCCAGACAGTGCAGAGAGAAATGACGACAAGCTGTATTTCTTCTTCCGGGAGAAGTCCTCTGAGATGGGTCAGACTCCTGTGACCCAGTCCCGTATAGGACGCATCTGCCTGGTGTGTAAACAGTGAGATGATTTGTTTTTGGTTTTATGCTAAATAAAAAAGAAAGCCTGTATAGATATTAAGAACAGGCTGGGGACTACCAATGAGAGCGTTTGAATATTTACAGGCACAGAAGCAGTATTTGGCCAACGCTGATGTGCTGGAATCCACATGGGTCTTTAACCTTCTTGTCTACAATGCATGCCTCTGTCTGTAAGGGTGCCCTATGACTTCTGACCCTGTGATCCTCTGACCTCTTCTCCCTGCTGGTCCTTAAACACGTTTTTGTGTACATGATAGCGGACAACTCACTGCCTTTAAAATAAAGTCCTTCTCAGTTTAACTTACATTTTCTGCATGCACTAGAAAAAAATGAGCAGAGATAAAAAAAACACATAACAACAAATGTCTCTGGGAGCTTTTGGTGCTTCTTATAGTGTTTATATGGGGCTAGTGTAATTATAGGTGTTCCCTTATGGGTTTGCGTGAATGTTTGAGCCTTAGATTCAGTGCAAGAGCACGGGTATAAGTGAGAAAATGCGCTATACGTGTGCTAGTTGCCTCAGCTGTTTGCCATTGTATTTATTTGAGGGGGTCAGGCGCTGACCCGGCACACAAACACTCATCCCCCTTTGCAGTGTGCTCTGCTGCAGCCTCCAGAGAACCAGTGCTGTTATTCTTACTTGGCCACACATCTGGACACTCTTACTGCCATTCTCTACACCCCGCACACCTCTAACGGCATGCTCAGATGTTTACTGTAATGACAGTGGAAATGATGCAAACTTTTTTTCTGCTCCTGACCTGGGATCCATCAAAATTGCACAAAGAATGTGAAGGCTTTGTCACTCATTTGTAAGAGATAGATGCTGATTATGGCAGAGGATTTGAAAGAAATAACTGGTCTTACCTCTTTTTAACTGGGATAGATTCTGGCCTTGCTCCACCACAGATGGAAGTCTAAATAGGAGGAGTCAGTGTTTACAATCTCACCCCCCCCCCCCCTCCCATTTTAGCTTCCTGGCTTTGCAAACCAATATGTACTGTATAGTGTGTGTGGGTGGCTCCACCTGGGTTTGTTTTCAGTAGGAAGACAGAGAAAGATGTGAGTTTAAGTGATTGATGTAGAAACTGCTCTGTATCCCCACCCTCTCAAGTGCAGAATGACGATGGAGGCCACTGCTGTCTGGTGAACAAGTGGAGCACCTTCCTGAAGGCCAGGCTCATCTGCTCGGTTCCGGGTGCTGACGGCATGGAGACGCACTTTGATGAGCTTCGTGAGTACAAAGACCTTGTAATTATGCTGTGATTTTTCCCCCACTATTTACAGTTAAAGTGGTGAGCCGTAGGTCACCTGGTGTGGGTAGGGGCTTCATAGACATCCCTGTCAATCAAACATGTTGGTAGCCTTGTGATGTCTGTTCTTCTGTGTTTGTCTTTTCTTTTTCTTTTTCTGTGGGTAGTGTGTCAAGCTGCTCTGCCAAAGTACATCCCACACATATAGGTTCAAAATAAAAGATACATTTATTAATTTGAATTATAAATTAAAGACATATTTCTTGTATGCACATGAGAAGCTTATATCTATTTGATGGTTCTGATAATGACTATGGAACGGCAACATTTATTTAACTTACAATTACCACTTTTATCAAAACTTATTAAATGACCTTCCATCCTGTGGAAGCATTCCCATTGGCCAACTTTTGTTTCACCCCGATTTTTGAAAGAAACTTAAGCTCCACTGTGTTTAGTTAATCATTTTGACAGTTCGTATCAAATGGCAAAGAAAAAGACAAAAGACAGGGCTTGATTTATTTCAGACTTGTTCTTTTTCAGATCGCTGTCATTTATGATCACATCTGAAATATTAACCAGAGAACAGTCCACTGCAGCACCTGCCAATAGCGTACTTGTGTAAACACACACCAGAGCTCAATCCTTGGCCCATATGGCAGCCCACTCCCACCATATGGCCAATACAGCATACTATAATGGAAATGACACATATAATCCCACAACTGTAGTTGTCATTTTATTTCAGTTTGTCTGAAACAAAAGTGTCTCTTTTTTGTGTGTGTAAAGAGGGAGGCCTGATGACAGGCAGGTTAGATCACCGAGTAGGAATGGGTGTTTCTGTTTACCTAGCTATTGAGTTGATTTTAGTACTATAATTGTTGCATCTTATGACATTAAAAGACACACACACTCTGAGGCCTTTTTACCTGTGCAGCCACTTTAATGATTTTAAAGAAATCCAAAGTAGGTCAGCAATTGGGTGTACAGCTCAGTCTGTATTGGTCAGGAGTGGGTTAATATAAGGAAACACTGCAGATTGGTTCTGTGGAAGAGCTGGACAGTTATCGTCTATGGTGCTGATGTTTTTTACGGGCATTACCTGAAGAGGATTTACATGTGTTCTGAGACAGGTCGGAGAATGACCAAGGACAGGCATGTGAGAGTACACAATCCCATAGAGTAGGAAAGACTGCACATATCAATTTGCAGAGCAGCCAACCTGCCAAGGACTCCTGGAGGGGATAGTAAATTGGATACGATTAAATTTCATGCTTTTGGCTTTACATTTATTGTATTGAATGTTTATTCAGCTCTGTCGCTGGAGTGTTTGATTTGAATAAGGTTTTAGAATTTCACAAGGGCAATTACTGTAAATCTTTTACTATTGCTCATTGAATAAGGCTCCCCAAAGGAAACTCTGGATATTAGGAGATTTATGGACATTTGATTTCTTAGATAATTGGGGAGACTTGGACCACTTTCAGGACTGTGCATTCCATATGAAGCTACAACCAGGAGAACCAGGAGATATGTAGGTTCATTTAGGCAGAGGGAATGGTCTGGTTGCATCCAAAGGAAATAAGATTACAATTTCAGAATATTTTAGGATGAGTAATTAACAGATTGCATGGTTTGTTTGATACAACTATTAAAACATAGTATGCCAGGGGGCGCTGGTAGCGCGGTGGTTGGTGTGCGCGCCCTGTGTATGGAGGCCATGGTCCTCCAAGCGGGCGGCCCAGGATCGAATCCAACCTGTGGCTTCTTTCCCGCGTGTCATTCCCTACTCTCTCTCCCTGATTTCTGACTCTATCCGCTATCCTATCTCTCCATTAAAGGCACAAAAAGACCAAAAATGAGTCTTTTAAATAAAAAAAAAAAAGCATAGTCAGCCGGGAAGCTAGTACAAACTCAAGGAAGTCCAACACCCAGCTAATAAATAACCTGGCCAACCTCCTGCATACCACAAGTTGTTTTTTTCTACCTGTTAGATAAGTTAGCATGCTCACTTTGGACTTACAATGTTGTGCTTTTGCCAGTTTTTATGACAATAGCTAGGCTAATTCGCTGCTATGCTTATGCTGATTACACCTTAATGTTTACTGTACAAACATGGGAGTGGTAACAATCCTCTCAATAGTCTCTTGGTAAGAAGCTCATAATCATAGTTCCCAATATACCATATTATTTAGAATTCAGTTGGCTACATGCAGTAATCAGGCACTGTAGATGAAGACAGCACAGTGGAAGACTGTTTCAGGCCAGCACAAGTTCAGAAAGATCATTTAGCCACGCTTGAGTGAGAAGTTCCTTAAACTTTTCCCCCTTTTTTAAGAGTTTTAATAAAACAACTCTGCAAGTTATTACTAAGAACTTTGTTGAAATGTCTGGACCAGCTGTGTTCCTGGCATGGTTGTCCTATGCAGAAAGACATTATGGCAAAGCACGCCTGAGACCTGGGGAGTTTTTACAGTTGGAATATGCAACAGCTATTGGCTCGGCACTTACAACATATACCTAATTTAGCCACAATGATTTAAAAGACAACATTAAAATGTTTTTTTTTTTTTCACTCATTAGTAAAAATAGAAAAATAGAAAAGAAATTCTGCACTTGAGTTGTGAAACACTTAAGAAAAAGTATATAATAAATAGGCTGAGAAAAGCCAAATGGAGAAAACAGTTAAGTGGATAAACGTACAGGCAAGGAAAGGGAAAAAATGATGATCAAGTAGATTGTTTTCTTTTTGTTAAGAAAATTGCTTGTATGACAGCTGGGATTTCATTGCCTAATTTATAAAGGAAGTACAGTTGTGAAATCTAGATCCTTTTCTAACTGTTAACAGTATTATTAACACACAAAATCCCCCGGAGAAGTCATCCCAGCCCCATATGTTTTATTGCTAATCATAAGATGTTTTTTTTCCAAGGTAACCCTGAAGGCTCAATCTGTTTTTAGCCATGTGGTACCTATACCTTTGTTTCAGCTTTTGCTTGTCTGTGTATACACAAACTTCTTGCGTGCAGTCGTCTATTTCTGCAGTACAGCAGATGTATGTCATGACAAGGATCATGTGTTGTGCGACACCCTTGACAGCCCATTGCACTGCATCCATGCAAACCCATGACCGTTCCACTGCTGTGGCAGCTGTGGAAGATGGCTTGGTGTTCTTTATGTGTATGGGTGGATTCTGGAGTGAGTTATCCACTGGGAAAAATTGACAATTTTCCTGCTATCTGTTTCAGGTATAAGCTTCAGGCTTAAGACTGCTGCTGAATTTGCAACCATTTCTCCCTTCAGTCGGGTTGGAAGCACATTCTCTGTTTCACGCTGAAGGCCGTTGTCCTATTGTTGGTAGTGAACCTGTCTCCTGGGACTAGTATTTAGGTCAGGTACCAAACAGGAGAAAGACTTATCACCCATCGCATGTTTAGCTTTTCTTTATTTGTTGCTTTGTACCTTTGCTAAGTATAAAAGGATAGTCTAAATGCGGCTGTGTCCACTGTCAGAGTCCTGTAGGAACGAGTGTGACCATCTGTGATTTAGAGACCTTAAAAATCTGGTTAATACTATATGATGCTGTTGTCCCTTAGGGAGAAAAGAGATATTTCCTTTCCCTGAAAGACAAATACATGGGGAAAGAATCCCACCACATCGTGCTTAAATTGTCTGTCTCCTCAGGAGCCGTCTCAAGTGGTTCAGGAATCACATTGTTTCAGTCTGGGCTGTAGAAAAACAGACAGTTTATGTTCCCTCCTCTGCTGTTAAATATCTTTCCTTGGTGCCGGGCTTAAACTGCTTTGTTGTGGATGGTTCAGTGATAGGGCCTGACAAGTTTCAGTTTCTGTGTTAGAGCAAAGTGGTTTGGCGTATTTCGTTAATGAGATATCTACATGCATGAGACATTCATGCCACCTTAAGGGTGGAATTTAATTGTTGTGTTGTGCCATTGAGTCAGATTTTTAATAGTTTCATTACATATTGTGACAAAATACCTAAAATATAAATATATATCGAACAAATTAGACATCATCTTTTTCGTTGGTGCAATAGTTATCTGCATCACAACAGGTCCCAATTGGTTTATTTTCCACAGCCAGTGGAGTGGTGGGTTCCATGTGTTTCCAACAAAGATGAAGGTTCAGCTCTTTTGTTTGTGCATCACTTCTTCCAGCGAGGTGTAGCCTAAAGGTCTCTCTGGTTAAGAGTTTAGCATTGGCTGAAAGCTGTGTAAATATTAGTAAAGTAGAGTGCTTTTGCTGTGGAGCGTGATGGTTCCTTCACCCGTTAAGTTTGCACTGACGTGATTTTTCTCTTTTCTCTTACAGGAGATGTTTACATACAGCCAACACAGGACACAAAAAATCCTGTGATTTATGGAGTCTTCTCTGTCTCTGGGTCAGTGAACGATAAATAATACAGTTTATCCACAACACCTGCCATAGGCTTTATTTAGGGATAAATGGCCAGAGTTGGCTGATTCTTTTCATATTTTGTCATACATTTTCTTAACCTTTTTTTCAACATTGACTTTCTCTTTATAGCTCTGTCTTCAAAGGCTCAGCAGTTTGTGTCTACTCCATGGCTGACATCCGCATGGTATTCAATGGACCCTTTGCCCACAAGGAGGGTCCAAATTACCAGTGGGTGGCTTACACTGGGAAGATCCCCTACCCCCGACCAGGCACAGTGAGTTTCCTGTCTACACTGACCCACACATGAAGCCATAGCAAGCTAGCATAACAGCAACTTCCTTCTGACTTAAACCTCAAGTAGAAACCATCTGAACAAGTTAAGCATAACTACTGCAGACAGGCTCTTAAAGATGCGTTACTTATTTGATTATGTCCAATTTCTTCCTCTCATAATTCTCCTGTTTCTCTTTTAGTGCCCTGGAGGTACATTCACCCCCAACATGAAGTCCACCAAGGACTATCCAGATGAAGTGATTAACTTTATGAGGAATCACCCTGCCATGTACAATGCTGTGTACCCAATACACAAGCGCCCCCTAGTGGTGCGTACCAATGTGGATTATGAGTTCACCACCATCACTGTGGACCAAGTTGCGGCTGCAGATGGAAACTATGAAGTACTCTTCTTAGGAACTGGTGAGTGTGTTTTGTTGAATCGAAATGTGTTTGAATATGAAAGAAGTAAGTTTGGCTACTTATAAAGTCATTACAGCTTTCTTGAGGTTATTTTTAAGAACCTTATGTGCAAAAGAAGTCTGGCTGAACCCATGAACCCTTTACACTAGATTCAGAATGGTGAATAACAGTGTCAGTGGGAAGTTGAGTAATGGACCAAAAAATCCCCCCGTGGAAATAAATCCCATGTAAGTGGGGGGCTTGTCTCCCCTGTAATCATTTATCATTAAGAGAAAAGAATTCTTGCCTTTTGTGCTTGGGTGGAAGTTTAACCAATCAAAGGGTTTGTACCTTGCCCTATTCACATGAAGTAAACAACAGGAGATTTGTACCTGGAGGGCAGTGGTGGATCAACAGCGGGAGAGAGGAAAGACACAGGGGGTAAGAAGAAGAAAGGCGGGGGGGTACAGTCAGTGTATCCATCACCTTAATCCTGCCCACTGGTGCAAAAGAGATTATCTATTTGTTTTCTTGCGTCAGCCTTTAATCAGGCCTCAGTAAGACAGCAGCAGCCACCCAGAGTGTGCAGCCCTTACTTGTTGCATATGACGCCCATACCCCAGCTTCATTGCTCATCTGTGCATTCTGGGGAGGGGACTAATGGGTTTGTGTGTGATGGAGGCCACTATGGAGGAATGTGTGTCCTTTCAGCTGCTGTCAGAGGCTGCCATTCATTGCAATTGAAGGCTCAGTGCAGAAAACATAATAAATCTCAGGTGTCTTACTAACAAGACTGCCTTACACTTTACTGAAATCAAACATGCTAGCCAGGGAAAGCCAGAAAGCCAGAGTGTGACAGAAGAAATGTATCATTGGGGTGGCAGCACCAAGTGAAACAGAGGTTCATTTCATTGTGCTAAGGTCAAACTAAAGAGAAAACATATAAACAGGGCAAAGAGTACAGTGGAGCCTGTTGATACAAGGATTATCCTTTGTGGGTGGTTGCTGAGATAATAAAATGAGAATTCACATGGCTGTGCATGGGCAGCGGGGTGTGAGGTTGCAGGTATGTAGCTGATGTGTGCGTTGTGCTTCACAGACAAGGGAACAGTGCAGAAAGTCATTGTTCTGCCCAGAGATGACCTGCAGACTGAGGAGCTGGTCTTGGAGGAGGTAGAGGTTTTCAAGGTGAGCTTTTCCTTGATTCATTTTTTCCCTATTAAACTTTATTGGTCTATTATATTTTATCTTACCTTCTTTGCACTTGAATCCTTGACTTTTGTTTTTCTTGCCACTTTGTCATAATTAGCTCACTCATTTGTACACACTGTACATGTCCATCTGATTAAACTCTGTACTCACACAAAATTATTTTCTTTCAAGGTCCCGACCCCATTACAACAATGAAGATCTCATCTAAAAGAGTATGTATTTCAGTGCATCTACCTGTCTTATTCCATGATGAAAAGAGGAAACAATTTCATCTTCCAAGGAAAGCGAATGCAAAATTATTGCTGTTTGAAAAGGTTACAAGCTTCTTGTACGCAGCTGTGCTTATTGCTGCTTCCCCGCATAGCACATAGAACCAGTAAGAGGGAGACAATGATGAGAGAAATATGAAAAAGACACTAAAGGTTTAGTGCTGCCTTTCAGTGTGATTCAAATCCTTGTGCTTTTCTTCATTCTGTTACATCATCCCTCGGACAGAGAGGTTGCATTACATGCAGCCTGCCAAAGTGACAAATTTCTAACAGCTGATCATAAAATTATGATGGCGACCTGAGAGAGCTGAGCTGAATATTATGCCAGATGATCCAGAGCCTGCTGTTTCAGCAGAGCGTGGAACCAGATTTTACACTTATCTCATTACACCCACCTGGGACTGTGGAGCCTTGGAGCTTCCAGGAGTTTGACTTGACTTGCATTTTCAGATGCTGATGTCTTACAAATATGACTCTGTAGATTTTTTGGGTTATGTAGATTTTTTTTCAATTAATTCACCCATTAAAACACACAATATATAAAATTTCACATCTTGGAATTTACTTATTAAAATGTCAATAATGAGCATAATTTCCTTGAAATATCAGGCTCTGCTCAGGGTAGCTGTTCATAAAAAAACTTAAAATGTTTTGTCTATTCCTTATTTAGAAGTCTATATTAAAGGTGCACTAGTATGTAGATTTGGTAGTGAAATTTGAAAGTTGGAGAAGTTCTATGCTATATTTTCTGAACTTACTACACAAACTTTATTTTAAAAAAGGGTCACTGGAACACTGTTTGGAGCTTAAAAAAAATCTACCAGGAGAGTTATGGTTTCACTGTTGTGGACCCCTCACCATAACTTTTTATTTTATCTTCAAACAGTGTTACAGGGACCACATTTTCCTCTGAGGGTAGTTTGTGTATAGAATTGTAAACATATACCACAGAATCTGTGCACTTCTCCAACTTTCAAATTTCTCTACCAAAACCACATCGTGCACCTTTAAATGGTTACCAAGTGGCCAAAATCATCACTATTTCCCATTGTCTTTACTTTCAACAGCAACAGCTATATGTGTCATCTACGTTGGGGCTGACCCAGCTGGCTCTTCACCGCTGTGATGTGTACGGGGAGGCCTGCGCGGACTGCTGTCTGGCCAGAGACCCTTACTGTGCCTGGGATGGCAAGTCGTGCTCTCGTTACTCTTCCTCGCAGAAGAGGTGAGCACTGGCAGCACTGATAGCATGAGCTGCATTCATTTCTCAACTAACTGACTGTCTTAACTGGTGTGTTGACTGATGCTCACAGAAGACGGCCTGGATGGCTGAATGGCTATTCGAATGGCATTGTATCTTTTTATGATATTCAAATGGTCATGGTGTTTGGGTTATCTGTTGTTGACAGCTCCCTTACTAATCATATTCTTGTGATATTAGGAGATTAACCAGTAAATGATATAAATTCCCAATCTCTGTGATTGATCATGATTTCATAATCGGGTGGAGGATGATCCTAAGAATCATTTGTGTGTGATACTTGAATGGCTATGTATTGTTGGATGGCTTTGTTTGGCTTGCAGTTGCTTTATGCTTTTTTTCTCTCCTTATTCGGCAATACTGGTCTGACCCGTTTAGACGGAGCCGGCGACAGGATGTTAAGTACGGGAACCCCATCCGCCAATGCAGAGGCTTTAACTCTAATGGTAAGTTGCCCATTCTTCAACCTCTGCTGCTTTTATTGCTGTATTTCTTTTTTAATGCATAGAGAAGGTTAAAAAATAATGATTCATCCTTTTGCTATCCTATTGCTGCTCTAGGCAGCTCACGGTTTTCATTGTAATGGACAGTAGTTAGTAGATTAGTTTAGGCTGGCAGCTTTATAGTAATCAGAAAAAGTATCACAATGAGGACTTGGATTTGCCACAACTGAGATTCTGGTCCTGCGAAGTTCATGGTAATGAGTGTTTTGGTGGCCACTGAAATCCCTCTCTCCCTGCTTTACAGCCAACAAGAACACTCTGGAGATGGTGCAGTACGGGGTGGAGGGGAGCAGTACGTTCCTGGAGTGTCAGGCCCGCTCTCCGCATGCTGTCATCAAATGGCATCTGCAGAGAGATAACAGTGACCGCAGGAAAGAGGTGAGCCAATACAGTGTGTCTTTCTCAAACATTTGGATTGTTCAACAATCTAATAATTGTTGAGGGAACTTTGCTCAAACATTTAAAATTCCTGAAGTATGAACTGACTTGAACTTTCCTGCACTACACAACTCGACTTTTTCATTTCATTTTCTTATTTTGTTGTCATAGAAAGAGGGGGATTTATATGCAGTAGCATTTGTAAAATGACCTATGTAATCAGTTTTAGATTTACATAGTTTTTATGTTAACTTGATTAAGGGAAAAACTCTGATTGATGTCTGATTTCTTACACAGACCTCAGATTGTCCTCAGGCCCAAGGGAAGGACACATAAAGCAGAGCTGTGACCAAGCCTTATGCTATGATAGACTGTATAACCCTGAGTCACTAGTAAAAGTTTTATTGTGAAGCTATGTAGTGTTGCTGCTTTTCTTTTATGGACTATGCTGTTGGATGCTCGCTTTATCCACAGGCAGAGCAGACTTTGCTGAAGCTTCAAATTCTGATCTTAAAAAGCTGGCGTCCCCTGATCACATTCTGTTGTAGATTAATATAGAAAAAGGAAATAAAAGACTAACACCTACTATTGCTATTTATTATAGTCAAATTGATTGTCATAATCCACTGGCAAAAGAGCTGGATTTTGAAATTTCACATATTATGCAAAATACACTTTTTGCATAATATTGCAACATATTAGTGTTTCTTCCAACACTAATATGTGTTCCTGGTCCGTCTACAAACCCCCCAGTTATGAGAAAAGTCCATCCTCTCCGTCTTTTGCCTGATCTACTTTTTTAGAAAATGTGTGCTCAATCTGGCCATTTGGAGATTTCTCCTTCATGACATCACAAAGGGCAGTTACTCCTCCCACAGCGGTCAGGTGGTGTTTGTTCTATCCTCTGAGTCTCCCTTCTCTCCGGAATAAACTGGGCTTGGGAGAAAGCCCAAGCCGTCCAAGTCCTTCCAGAGAGGGGCGTGGTCAGACACAGCTCACTTGCATTTAAAGCTACAGACACAGAAACAGCCTGTTCTGAACAGGGCTGAAATAGTTAATAGGCATGATCAAATACAGCATCAGAGTGGATTTTTAACAAGAATCTTCAAAGACATGTTTTGGGGACTTCTGAGACTTGATTTAAATTGTTGAAAAGGAGTATATTGCATGACCTTTAACAAAGAAACATTTCTGTTATTACCTTTATTTTCTTGTTACTATGTGGAATTTTTTTAATCTCATGAATCAATATTTTGCATTTTGATACATTTATTTTCTTTATTTTTTCTCTTGACTGTTTCCATTTTGTGCACAACATTTAATTACATCTTTGAGATGTGTGCCATTTCTTATTTTAGTTTCTAATGCATTGTTATTCATTCTGTCTCCACAGATGCGTTCTGACGGTAGGATTTTGAAGACAGAGCAGGGTCTACTCCTGCGCTCTCTGCAGCCCTCTGACTCTGGCATGTACCAGTGTACAGCCACCGAAAAGAACTTCAAACACACGCTGGTAAAGCTGCAGCTCGTAGTGCTGTCCAGTCGGGCTGTCAACAATGTGCTTGTGGAGGGTGTAGGAGGGCTGCCGTCTGCCCTACAGTCCTCCAGCACCCAGTGGACCCCCAGCTCAGGCCAGTACAAGGACCTGCTGACCATCCTGAGCCAGCCAGAGATGAGCCTGATCAATCAGTACTGCCAGGACTACTGGCAGTTTGGAGACCCACTGATGGGCGCCCTCAAGGCCAAAGACCTGAAGGAGCTCAAGGAGCAGAAGAAGCCCCGCAACCGCCGGCATCATGGGGAGGAGGAAGAGGACGAGGAGCAGGAGGAGTTAGAGACATGAGGAGCCCAGCTTTTGTGTCATAATCATCCTCAGCCACCACCACCCCCCACCCTGTGAAAACTGGGAGAGACTCATTCAGAGTAGCAACGTGAAAATATCCACAATTCCCCAAAAAAGCAAACTGAGAAAAAAAGAGGCTTACAAACAAATCCCCACACACTTCCTCTCAAGCAGTAAGATATATGAAACACAGTATTTATTGTAGGTTGTATATAGTCTGATTCTGTGGATTTCTTTGTACTTAAAGAAAAAAACATGCTCTTTGTGTATAGGTACCCGTGGGGCAAATATTATTGTTATAATGGATGTTGTTAATTTTATTGTTGCTGTTACTGTCATTACAAAACTCATTGTCATAGTCAAATGACCTCTGCGACTGTTAAGAATGTGTTATCAGGCATGTAAGCTGTTAGAAGCGAGCTCTGAGAAGCTCTCTATTACAGGAAGATGAGTAGTTGACGAGAGGTGATGGGATCTCTGTTGTTTCTTCTTTACTTTGACTCGATGCCAGGACTTTTTTCATTTCTGGACACTCCAGGATTGCCTGTGATGTTACCTCCATGTGGCTGCATGACAGAGACTTGATATTATGAGGGGACCATAGACACATGGTCCCATTTATAAACGGGAAATGAGCTTTCCTCCATTGGAACCCAGACAGTAAGATGACTGTTTAAATGTATTTTGACTGGTGTAACTGGGCCTTCTAATAGAAAACTGGTGGTGCTGTCCTTTAATTTTTCTTCTCTGCCCCTCTTGATTGTGAGGTTGACGTTAAAATGTGGACATTCTCAATTGTACTCTTCATTGAGTAATATGTAGGTTCATCTGGCTATTAGACTCAAGTTTAGGGAAGACTAGATAACTGTAGTTTGAAACATTTACATCAAAGGAAAGTAAGCATCCGATCTTTTTCTATGAAACATATAAAGACATAAAACATGTTTTTTTCTTCAGATTAACCATTGTTCGAACTGAGGTTGAGGTGCAATAAATGGTCATGGTTTTGTATAAAGGGCATTATTCTTTTATTTTTAAGGGACGTTGGCCCAGGCCAAATCTAATAAGCACATAGCAAGTTGATTTCTGTAAACAAAAAATAAGGTAAAAGAGATGCCAGATCAGGCAGCAATTATTAGCTCTAAGCACACAAGGCATATTTTGCTCTTTCTTCCTATGACCTTCATATGTGGATAAATCATATTCCCCCTTTACACAGAGCATTGTAACAATGTTGTGACATTAACCAAAATATTGGGAAGCTGGCTTTCATTGTGTGCATGAACCTGTATTTGTACTGTAATTCTGTTAAGAAACTGTGTGGTCTTTTTTTTTTCATCTCTATGGGTGTACAGTTTGGTCTCCAAGGGACATTTTGAGTGCAGGGGAAAATCAGCAAGACAAGTGCTTTAAATATGTCTTCAATTAAAATTTCCTCTGTTAGTGGCACCACAAGATACACTTTTTCATTTTCTTTCAATACATTAGCTATGAATAGAAATTAACTGATGTGATCATTACTGATCATGTGGAAAGTATCATTTTAAAAATACAAAAGCATGATGTTGTAGAAGACGAGTTATTAAAGGTGAGTTAGAGGTTTTTTTATTTTTTATTTTTATACCCAACTTCTCATTCAACAACCTATACGTTCAAAAACTGATTTGTCAGGAATTAAATTTAAAAGCATTGTAAAAAAAAAAAAAAAAAAAAAAAAAAAAGAGAGAGATTATAAAAACAGCTGAAACAGTTTACATTTTAAAGGCTTTCAAATCACCTTGTCAAGCATGTCCACATCCTGTATAAACCTGCTTTGAAAGCTTCTGGGAAAATGTATCCATAATTAATACAGGGGAACAACTGTCTGTCCACAGCTAATACAGGCAAAAATGCAAAGAAAGGTTGTACAATTTGTTAGTATTTTTTAAATATGTGTCAGTAGTTTTGAGTGTTTTGTTTGTTTTGTATTTTTGCATCATCTTCTTTGAGGAAAAAAAAAGAAAAAACACTAAATGCACAGAGGTGATTTTATTGTTATGACTTGTGTAAATTGCTCTATCTCCCTTCTCCATTGTTGTTGCTGACTAATAAATTAAAAGCTCTATATTTTATAAGAACGGAATGCTCCCCATCCCCCCTTCATTGTGATTGGCTTGATATCTGATGTTGTCCATGTTCTGCCCAGAGCCATCTGGATCCCTGGAATAAAGTTGTAACTGTTCAAGAGACATATGTGCACATTTCTGTAAAATATATTCATTGAATTTGTGTTGTGAAAAATGAAACTTTACAAGGTAAAACATCTCCAGTCAGAAGACGCCGGAGGAGATTTTCCACTAAATTTGTGACAGAATTTTGCTGCCTCTTAATAGGTATGGATTATGTAAGTAAGGTAAGTCTGTTATCCCCTATTGGTTATTTAATTCAGAGAAAGCATTCAGTGCTTTAAAGTTCATTAACCCACATTTTAAGATCTATAGATGATCACCTGTGGGAGATTGGAATGGGTTGTTATGGATATTTCTCAAGTTTACCTGAGGCAGAGTCTCGGCATCTCAAAATAACCATAAACTATCAGCTACAGAACTGTGCCACTTTCATTTTTACATGAAAAACAGTCCTATTAATTTAAATCTAAGAAAACTTACTTTACTTACTTTTTGTGCTACAGAAAGGGATAAATTGATTGCATAATAAATGATCGGGAATGTGTAATGGAAGTTCATGAAAGTAAGTCTAGCTCACAGCACTGCAGGGAAACAATTTGTCGTCTGGTCAGAAGAGAGCGCTTCAGTCAAGCCCATCAGGGTTTCTACACCTCATTAAATCCCTGACGGCTGAGCTGACCCCTGATCACCCAAGTGACTCACATTCTCCTTCAACAATCTAGGTCAGCTGCAAAGTGGCAGAGAAGAACAGAGGAAGGGAAGGAAAAAATCCATTGGATGAGAGCAGAAGGGAGGTACTTACAGGATAAGAATGTTAGAAGATAAAGTTAGGGGGTTTAAGTCCAATTTATCTGGATCTGCATAAAAAATTAATAGATACTCGATAATACTTATTGATACATCAGCTGAAACCAATCAGTTCACTTCTTCTATCTTTAAGCGTGCAAAAGACTGCATGACCTGAATGACCATTTCCTGCTCCTGAACAAACCAAACTGAAGTTTCTGTTAATCATCTTGGTATTCAGGATACCGGAAAGATGGACTATTGATCAGGATTTAACGTCTAATTGCAAAGCTAATGCTTTCCCCTATAACATTGCAGTATCAACCCTGTAGAGCACTGCACTTGCAGAATGCAGGCTTACTTTTAGTGCATAAAAGTCTTCAGTATGAGAGGAAGTACAGTAACGTGTAGGTTGCAGCTTTCACTACACAGTAGCAGCAGGTGGTTGGGCTTGACATTAGGGGAGTGAACTAAAAAAAACTCCAAAACACACCAGAAGCCAGAAATGGTTGATGGTTAGGCTTCAACCCAACCTGTAAAAAACATTTATGCTACAGAAACATTGAAAACAGAAAGGAAAGCAGACACAGTCTCTGCTTAAAATATTTTTTTTAAAGTTTATGGGCTGGTGCAACCTTTTATTACACTCAGCTCCTGTATTTTCCTCTCTCTATATTATTTTAGTGTTGATGTTAATTTAATGTGTTTTACTTACACTGCATCCACCAGGGTTTTTGCTTGTCTTGAAGGATCCTGTATGAAGTTGTTGCACATCTGCAAGTGGCCCTCTGCTTCACATCTTATTATCAATTTTCCTTTTGTCATCATCATTGTCATTATAATTGCTGATAAAAGACATTTCCTACTGTTATAAAAGGCATTTATTCACATATTGAATTGAATGTATTAATTCAATGTATTTATTTGACAGGGATGATGCAACATAACACAGCTCCATACACAGCATGAAACTGATTTGTTGCACATGTTATAGCTATTGAGTAATAGCTAACTCAATTTTCTCTAGCAAGTCCCTATTATCTGTTGTTATTTTTGCGTCTGTCTGTATGTTTCTTTCTTTCAATTCTCCCCCCTATTCCACCGTCTCTGCCCCACCTGTTGCTGACCATCGCTGTTCACCAGGTTTCTATTTGTACGTAAGAATTCCTTGTCAAAAGCTTGCTCATGGTGAAATATTGTTGAATGGACTCTATCTATATGTTGCCCTTTTCTAGCCTTTTACACTCAAAGCACTTTTACCCTACATGACACTTTCACACAATTCACACTCCATTCACACACAGATGGCAGAGGGATTAGCTCATCTTAATTATACACATTCATAGGTTTATGTTTATGTCATTGGAAGCAGTTTGGTGTTCAGTGTCTTCAACATGTGGTCTGCAACGAGTGGGGATAAGAACACCAACTTTCCAATTGAGCGACGACCAACTGTGCCATAGCTGTGCCACGTTGTAAATAACAATACAGAGTTAAAAGAGTTCACAAACTCTTAGATTAAAGATAGCCTATCAGTTCTGAGATTCCTTTTGATGTTATTTCAGTGCTGTAAAAGTAAAAAGTAAAAAATTATTGCTTGATTAATTGTCAGACTCGTAACCCAGTCAAATAAAACCAAACACAAAGGTTTTATAAAAGCATTGCTACACCACTCTTGGCTGTTTGATGATAAGATGTCTTATTTTCATTTAGGGAAACTATTCATAAATCATCAGATCAAGGCTGTTATTTGTTTCTAATACATATTGTTTTTCTTCCATATGAAAAGTATTCCAGGTGACAGGATTAATTTTTTCTTATCATTGTAGCAGAGATGAAGTTTTTTTTTTTTTTTTTAAATGGACAAAAAGAGAGCCGAAAGAGAGGTTAGCAGTGCGCAGAAACTTGGCCAACCACAGAGTGATGTGGACGAGCCCCTCGAGTTGTCTCTTTTCTATATTTCTCCAGTTCTCTATTCTGACTATCTGGAAACAAAATATCTCCCTTGTGCTTAAAAAGAGAATTTACAAATTGAGAAACTACCATCAGAAATGTTTTACAGAATTGTATGATGCAACACACTTAGCACCCTCAAACCAAAAAAATTAAAAAGGTATCCATATCAGCTTCACTCTATTATCGATCAATTCATCAGTCAATGTTTATTTGTAAAGTGCAAATATATTTCAAATGTTATTTCAAGACACTAGAAGAGCTGTACTCTTTGTTAAATATACTCTGTTATATTTATAATATCACCCCTGCTGGTTCATAATACATACAATTTTATTATAATACACACAGGCAATCATTAAAAACATGTTGGATTCTTCTTTTTTTTAATTGCATGAACAAATTAAAAGAAAATCTCTTCATTATTCATTCTGTTTTGTTTTTCTTGTCTTAGACCCTTGTTTTGGGGATCCAAAAATATGCTCTCTTTGTAAAATGTATGACAGAAAGTCCATCGGGCAATGATTACTTTTTCTCCTCAATTTAGTCCTGATGACATAATTGGAAACCTATATGAGAGCATGTCTGGAGACACCATTTTCTCCAGCGTTTGTTTGTTTCTGAAAAACGCAGACAATAGGTCAAATGGTCTGGACAACATCACAGGACATATAGGCCTACCAGGCTCAGATGGCATCTCGTCCCCTTTTCATCCCTCCACATAGACAGATCTCTGTTCTCTTTGGTTATCAGATCTATTCCAAGGAGCAGCAGAGTCGGGACGGGGGTTTCATGAATTGAGGACAACAATATTCAAGGTCAGCCTCCCACGCTGTAACTGTTCACATTATGTCTGTATCATCTCGGCATCACTTCAAATCCATCCACCTCCGCCTCTGAATCAGACACTGGCTCTAAACCAAGAGGCTGATCCACATTTTAGAAATTCTAAACTACCCACAACCAATGTTAACCTATCATAATCTGATCAGACAGTTCTGTAGCCCATTCTTCACAACACAGTGGAACATTATCTCCAGAGCGGCATATCACATGACATAAAGCCATGTCATTGGCATCACTAACATCATTATATTCACTTTTTCAAAGGGAAATCCAACTCTGTCTTATCGTTGCGCCTGATCTGGTGCTGGGTGACTCAGAAGCGGTGGTGGCTTTCTGTGACTATCTGCTCCGTCTCTCTCACAGCCTGACACTTACTGCATTGTTGGAGTAGAAGTGGAAAGCTTGGCATGCAATGAAACTTGTTCTGTGTTCATAGGCTTATTTCTTTAGATCAACAGATTCAACCACATTAACAAACTAAACTCAGTCAACATAAAGCATGATGGGCTATTAATTGATTTGGCCTGGCCTGGGACTTTCCACAAGCTGGGTTAAACAGTTCTGGATATTTCATTTGGTGTATCACATTATATTCTGCTCTTGATAAACTCCCAGTTCTCACATTGTCAGTCCTCCTCATGCTCTTGCCATGTGCAGATGAGATTCTGGGGCATGTGGAATAGTCATTGTCGTCCCCCAGAGTCTTCCAAAGCAATGCTGTGAAAAAGAATGAGCAACACTGCTCTCTGCGGCTCCTACATGCTTCAACAGGAGTCCTGTTTAAAGCTGCATAACATGCTGTCAACCAGCAGATGGCAGGATGCAGCAGCGTCTGCTTGTACTGAATAGACAGTGAGCATGTCTATTTGAAGTGTGCAATATAAAAAGGCCCATAAGAATATTATTTTTGACAGTTTGTATTATGTTATATAGCCTTCTAGTTTGCTCAATACAGCAATAATGCTCTGAAATGTAGAAACTCTAAATCCAATGTACGTCAAAATACAGAATTATTTTGAGCAAATTTATGTATTTACATCATGTGCTGGAAACACATAAACTGAATCCTAAAAATGTGTGTGTAATATTTTATTGTTGTATCTTGTTGAATTTGGTATTTTTGGTATTTGATTCCAAATATAAGGAATGGGCCTATTTTGAAAGGGTCACAAGATATTTTTGAGGGTCATATTTTGTAGTGCTAGAAACAACAAAAACAATATATTGTTACTCAGATATATATGATGTACACAAAGATAACTTCATCTCTTTGGATAAAAGTAACCTTCTGAGAAGTTAAGACAAAAATAAGTCTCTTTGGTCAAACTGCTCACAGTTCAGATATTTAAAAAAATGTTAACAGTGGCCTTAATTACTTGTTAGTAAGCCAATAGTATGATTAGGAGCTGCTCACTTAATGTAAATATTGCTTCTTGTTTTATGTGTGAAACCATGAATCTATATTGTAGCTGCCAAGATATCTTACAAATAAATGCAGTGGAGAGAGATTACAGTTTGTCACTACATAATATGAAGAGAAAACAAGATTTGAGCAAATATTTTGATGACTTTTAACTAGAAAGAGGTTCAATTCACAAAATGTAAAGTTTAATATGTTTAACTTCACTTATATAGGCCCATTTTTATATTATGCAGGTAAACCTCAGTTAGCAACATGATTGAACAACATTTTAAAAATAACCAAAAAAACAGATTAGTATCTATTTGTCTAATGTAACTCAGGGGATATCCAGCAAGTATCATCATTATCAAATTTCATGAACTCTGGTATTTGGTATACAGTATATCCGATATGTATTTTAAAAACCTTTGTATAGTAGTATATAATAATACATTGTTCCTAATATTAACCTCATTGACAAGCAAGTCTCATTTTAGAACACTTTATTACAGTAGATTGATTTTACCATTGATGCCCCCTTCCAAATATTGGTAGAGCTCTGTTTAAAACGGCTGCTGACATTGATTGAAATTTATTACTGAAGGCTTTGCAACATTGTAGGGTTGTGTTTGACCTCACTGGCAAGCAGTAAGCTGAGGCAGCAAAGCCATACAGGGAGTTATTGAGATTGATTGCTTTATAATGTCTTCATGCCAACAAAATCAATACAACACATCACATCCATCCATCACCATCATATTTCTTCACCTTTTGTCATCATCTTGATCTAAGGCCTGATAGAGTTACCTCAAAGATGGAAACATCAATGGAGTGTAAGAATGTAAGAAAACGCAATCCACACTCTGCTGTAACTGTTATAGTATGTATATTTATGTTCAGTTTCTCCCAGAGGTAGCCTAGTTTGGTATTCAATGTTATATTCATGTTTCCTCTTAGCAAGGACTGACCCTGATTGATAGCCATTCATCTCTATGTTGCTGGAAGTGAAAAACAAAAAAGCTGACACTTATCTCACCCTACCTTTTACAAAGAAGTCACCTAATAGCACAGAGACAGATATAGGATCCCCCAGAGCCCCGAGAATGTAAAGATGGCTGTTATACGTTGTAACATGTGCATGAAAAGAGAAACTCTCCCAGGAGGAACACATTGAATCTCCCAGAGGACCCTAAAAAGCGAGTTCCCTTCGTTATTATCCAGACGCCAAATAGCACTGCTGGGATTTTTTCAAACTCAAATTCACACACCACGAGGATGGGTGCTAAGCGTGTGCTAATGGAGCGCGCGTAACACAGATGCTCAGCTTCATGTTAGGGTGGAAGCAGAGTGCTATGACACAGTCGATTTCGCTATCCTCCACATGTATAATGTAATTTTTGTAGTATGCTATGAGCCCTCTGACATTGACATAGATAAATGATGAGGATCAAAGATGACTAAATGAATGAATTAGAATTTTAATACCACCAAAGTCATCAACTCAGTCAAGGAGTACAGTACAGAGCTCACAAATGCAAGACAGGACCTACAGGTGACCACTGGTCCTGGCGAACATCACATCTACAAATACACCTTTAAGTGCATGGCAAAATGAACAGACATGAAATATAAATACAGTGAGGAATGTACTGAAAAAAAACATTGCTTTATATTGTGTAACAGTATTGAAAGAGTATTTATTTGCCATCTAAACAAAGAGAACTGACTACATGAAATAATCTATTCACACAAAAAACTTCAATAGTCTTTTGTTTTAGCCTGTGTTTAAAATCTATATAATCTAAATATTTTTCTAGAACATGTGTGTGTGTGTGTGTGTGTGTGTGTACCAATCTACTTTTAGAACAAATTAAAAAGAGATACATATATAAACAAAGGACTCTGACAACATATAGTCAAACTTGAGATTCTTAGAATTATAAACTTGGTTAGTTTTTGTCCATAGCCCCTTTTATTTAAAATGCACACTTTCAAACAAATTCACAGGTGCTCACGGTAAATATTCCTGACAACAGATTGGGTGAGACAAAACTAGCATAACAATGTACTTCTGACATACCATATTACTGTTTCATCCAATAATTGTGTTAACAACATGGCTGCTGCCTCCATGTGAGCAAGGAATCAAAGCCCATGGCTGAACGTGAGCTAACATATGAAACCATGTGGGCACTCACAGGCCAGAGTAGCAAAATGGTCTTATCTATACGCCCTCACACACTTATCTGACAGCAGGCACGAGTTGTTTAAGTGGCCCAGATGGGCCTGACAGCTGGCAAGGACTACAGACTTCCACTTAGGTACATGTACTGTTTTTGAGAGGACACCAGGTATCACAGTTTCTGCAGCCAGTCAAATATTGCTCAATTTCCTCTAGAGTGATTACAGAGAGAACTCCCTCTGTTGCTCTTTATTCATGCTTGAGGGGACCAGTGACAGGAAGGGATAGATTGTTATTACCGTTTCTTAGAAATCTATGGAATAAAAAAAAGGAAAAAGTTTAGAAGAAAGCAAACAAAAACATGGAAATATAAAATAACTCTAAATTATAAGAAAAGTTAAAAAATTGTCAAATGCTCGGAACATTGTTGTCAGTAGAATAAATGTCAGCAAGGCTGAGTTGATGAGGAGGACTCTAGTTACCACAAAGTCAAAATGATACAAGTCTTCCCTTGAAAGCCGCATGTGGTCAGTTAATGCACATTTTGTTTTAAAAAAACAACTAAATATTAAGACAAATGTGGCATTTAGGTCAATATCATATCACAGAGGCCATGGTTAAACCACAGCAAACGCAAGTAGACTAAGCATTTCAACTAAAAAAACAGTTTCTGTCACGCGATGGATAAAGATGTCATGGAGTGCCGTCTCTATAAAAGGAAAGCTACAAATTAATTTAGATGCATAGAACTGCTATGTACTGTAATCAACACTTGTGTTTTTTATCATATTGACAGCAGGGGCCCTTAATGAACAAGTAGCAATAAACAGCATAATGTGCAGTGTGCTTTTGGAAAGTCCACATTGTTTGTGGCAAGAGGTGAGCATGAGTTGTGGTCTATGTTAAGAAGTTGGTAGACGGGCATCTTTATCCACCAAGTGTTTGTAAATGTAGGATGAAGAGCAGAAAGTGAAAATGCATGCTGTTTTGGCTACTTCTACAAAGGTCTCTATATACAGAGTCTTTACACATATAGCTATGAGGTGCTTTCCTGAGCAGGAACTTAGCAAAGGGACATAATGTTTGTGTGTGTGCTTTGTGCGAAGCTGCCTCGTTCACAAATACAGTACTGGGCATTATAACTCCCAGTCACCAGTCTCATCATTGTTTAACCCAAAATAACTGGTAAGTGTCGACGATATCAGTGTATAAAGATAACCTAATCCCTCCTGTGACAGAAATATGTGATCTTCTCAATGTGTGAGGAGGACGAGCACTTGCTGAGTGTTGGAGTTCAAGGTCAAAATATCTCAAGCTAAACTTTCTACTCATTCAAATAACACATTCTCTATTTGCAAGCAGGGAGGGAGAAGTTACTAAATTAAATTTTCAGCACATTTAAGTCTTCCCTGCATCCTCTCATTGGTAAGAGAAGTATAAGAAACTTTTTCTGAAAGACCTGTTTGACAGCAAATCTGTTTTTGCCCCTAAAACTCAAGTGTTCAAGGACACGAGTGGTTTATATTATCCAACATAAAATGCCGGAGGGTCAGTGAAAAAAGATACAACACACTTTGAAAGAAAGTCAATGTAACACAGTACTCAGGAAAGGTAGCAAACAGCCTCCATGAGATGATACTAATGCTGCAAGTGAGAGAGAAGCGGAGTCAGTGTCACCATGCTAGCAGCTAATGTACAGTGTGCAGGAGTTGGTGGGGACTTCAGAGGTCACACAGGGGAGGGTGGGAGGGGGTCCTAACCCTGCTCGTCCCCAGCCTCAGGGTCTGCCTGAAGAGCAGCCAAAGCTTCTCCATTACAGCGTGATGATGGCTCGCCCTCCTGTGGTGGCGGGCTTGGCTTCTGAGGCTCAGCAGATGACGCTGCTTCCCCGGCTCCGGCCTCCTGGGCCGGTTGGTTTGTCTCGGCTGCAACAGGGGGCTCTGTGACGTCAGCTGGTGCTCCTTCAGGTGCTGCCACAGAAGTGGGTGCTGAGGGCTCCGTGCCTGTCTGGGGAGCTGTCGTGTCTGCTGGGGCAGCGGCCTCTTGGCTGTTTGTCTTTGACTCAGGTACTCTCAGTCTCTTCATGATGGTGGTGACCCGAACCGCTTTCTGTAGGAGAAAGAAAGAACAATGTGAACTCAGAAAGGTTCTGTATCCTGAAGACTGGCTAAGAGAACATCAACTCTCGAAGGACTGCCATAACTGTTATACAATACTGCAACACTACACTTCTCTGTACAATGACTGTACAAGTCCTGTTGAGCTTTGTGAAAATAAACAACAAAACAACTTACCTTCCATTTAGCTCTGGCAAAGTTCTTCTCTATTTGTGCGCACACATTTTCCTTAATGTTCTTATCAGAAGCTGCTCCGCCAGAGATCCTGTTGTACAAAATAGGAACATAACGTAACTCCACATAAGCCTGATGTTTCCCCTATCTTTGCATGCCACAGGCGGCTGCAAACTGAATTTATTGTTCACTTTTTGACTGGCAATCTTTCGCAGGACTGTTTAACTTTTGAGGAAGTGTGGCTAGCACCATTGGCTATACATGCTGCTGTAACTTGCAGCCTGAAATGTAATGATTATTCCGCACAGAGAAGTGATTTACCTTTAACAAGATGAACATGAAATGACACAATGTGTGTTTTTAAGGACATGTCAAGAAGGAAAAAACAGTCTGCTCTTTATCTGATCACAATACAGTCTGAACACATCTCCATGGATTTAGCTATTTACACGAGCAAAGCTCTGCTGCCTACCATTCATGATTAATAGCCTCCTGGGCTGTCAGCCTCTGGTCCTGATCCACCTCCATCAGACGAGAAACCAGACTCTTTGCTGCCAGTAAAGAATCACACAGAATAAATCAACAAAAGGGGGTTTTGTTCTCTTGGATGGGAACATACTGTAAACATGCCATGTGTTTTTTTTTAGGTTTAAGCAAATGGTTTTATAATTAATTTCACATTCACACACTGATGGCAGAGGCTGCTACATGAAGTGCCCAACTGCCCATCAGTATTATTCAATTCACAAGCATTTAAACGCCGCTGGCATAGCAGCGAGACAAACTTTGGGTTCAGTGTCTTGCCAAAGGATTGGGGTCAAAACCCAGACTAAAGACTAGCGACTCTACACTGGCTCACTGGCTGTGGCTCACAGAAGCTCAGAAGGGGAAAATATTCTCTTGAATTTGAAATATTTACCTAGTAAGCTGTCATTCTCTGACAGTGTTTGTACCTGAATCAGAGATTTCATCCCAATATGGAGAGTCAAATTCATAATCGCCTGCCAGGATCTTTCGGAACAGGTTCTTGTCATGGTTTTCATAATCATCGTCATCAGTTTCATCATAGAAAGGAGGGTTGCCTGACAGCCTAACATAAAAAAGGAAGAAGAGAATAAACAAGTCAAAAACAATCTGCAACCTTTTTACAGACAGCAATCAAGACTTCAGATGAGGTGTACGGGTTAGCATCACAACTTACAGAATGTACATGATGACACCCGTTGCCCAGCAGTCCACCGGTTTGCCATAGCGCTGTCTGCCAACCACTTCTGGAGCTGCACACAAGATAGACCTTTTATCAAAATCTCTACCAGTTTAAAAGCGACACCAGACAGCCAAAACACTTTCTCCACTGAAGTGTCTTTCTTTAATGTTGAGAATATTTATATTCTCACCCAAGTACTCTGGTGTTCCACAGGGGTCCTTTATAAGTCCATTCTCCAACTTGGCAAGATGGAAGTCGCTGATGACTATCTTAGAGTTCTTCAGGCGATTGTAATAAACCAAGTTCTCCAACTTAAAAAAGAAAACAATGACAGCTTTCAATGAATAATTCAAGTTTACGGGGCTATCATTTTCACAGTTCATCATTTAGTGAGAACTAAGACGGTCGAATTTCAGTTCTGAGATCATTCTAATTATTTTTGACAGAAAGAAAATTAGGAGTCTTAAAACATCTAAAAGTTCAATTAACTTGTGCAGATTAAAATGGAAAAAAATCAAGTGTGAAACAGTCTGATTTATTTCTATGACTTTATTATGATTGGACATCAACTAAGTGCTATGGTCAATTTTGATGTATTTCCATTTAAGAAATAAATGAGTTTTTATTCCTTCAGAAAGTTCCACACATGTTTATGGAGCTGTAACAAGACAGGCTCAAGAAATCCACACAAATGGTCACTGATGGAGTCTAGAGGTAAGTGAGTGGAGATGAGACAACTATCACTCACAGTTAATATTAGCCAACATACCTAGCATCAGACATTGGTCATTTTTAAATGGTTTTAACAACTTTAGATTTTGAGTTACCCTTGTAACCTGTATCTTTGTCTTTATTATTTCACTGAAACCAATTAAAGGTCATTTTTGATAGATATTTACAAAATTTAATCATAGAATGAATGAATATATCATTAGACATTAAGGAAACATGCTATGTTGAAGTGTTGGCTTCTCTAGCCAGTATCCTCCTTCTAAGTTAAAGAAGCATAATGGTTTGTTTTTGATTTGACCAGAGAAGTAGGCGACACCTCCACACAGACATTTTGCCGCTCCTCGCTAGGTTTGCCTGGCAAACTGATACAGGTGTTGCAGTAATGAAAGCAGACAAGTGAACTAGTTCTTCCCATCCTAAAAAGAAACGTTGTAAAAATAGAATAAATAATGGAGATGCTTTTTAAAATGGAGAGAGTTTAGAATGCAGAAAGGTTTCGAGACTAATGCAGAGCTGATTAAACACTGAAGCTTCAATTTCTGCGACATGCGTGCATGTCCACTCTTGGGAGGAGGGGGCGGGGGGAGACAGCTCTCTCCAATGTTTTGAATTTGGGCTGCAGTACCCATCGTCACACATGTCCTGTTTGTGCTTGTGTTTATTTCAGGCCTATGTGTGCAAGAAGCATGTCTCTCAATAACAGAGTGTAAACCAGAATTTTTTCGTCAACAACGTCTACAGAAGTTCAAAAGTACAGAAGTTCCACGTCATTAACCATTAATAGTGTGGGCATCCTTAAAGGTGCACTATGTAGTTTTGGTAGAGAGAAAGTAAAAGTTGGAGAAGTGTACAGATTCGGTGGTATTTGTTAATAACTCTATACACAAACTGTCCTCAGAGGAAGATTTGGTCCCTGGAACGCTGTTTGAAGATAAAATGATACGCAAGAAGTTATGGTGGGGGGCCCTCAACAGTGACACCGTAACTCTCCTGGTAGCTTTTTAGCTGCAAACAGTGTTCCAGGGGCCTATTTTTCCTTTGAATACATTTTGTGTATTTAGTTCAGAAAATATAGCAAATAATTGTTTCCCTTCTCCAACTTTCAAATTTCAAGACCAAATCTACAAAGTGCAGCTTTAATTAATGGACATTGTACAAAACTAAAGCTGGGGGTGTTACCTTGAGGTTTCTGTGGACGATATGCAGGGAGTGGAGGTACGCCACAGCCTCCAAAACCTGGCGCACCACATTACTGGTATCTCGTTCTGAGTAGTAGCCCTGGTCCAGGATCCAGTCGAATACTTCTCTGCCTGTTGCACTAAGATAAAAAGAAGGCATTAAACGAGTATAGAAGTTGTTACTGGTTTTATGCAGAAAGCTGTGTGAGTTCATTTTATCTTAGGAAGGTAGATTTGTAAGTAATACAATGTTAATTGCTTTAATTTGTCAAAGAACATTTATGTCATCAGCCTTTATCTTTCCATTTTCCTTCAGCCTCTGAAACTTTTCCAAAAACGAAAAAATAATCTGGTAGTTTAGAATTGTCATTGTCCTTTTGCATTGAATGTTTGGCGTGAATGTAAATTACACTGTTCTTAGCTTTACATTTTCTTACAGGATTTCATAATGCCCCCTACCTGTTAAAGGGAAATCATTTTAATTATTTCCCCAAAGATGTTCCTTTGTGTTTGATCATTTTCTTTCTAACCAGAGTCATAAACCTCACGTGTCCTCGAAGTATGAGACTACAAGCTCACATTTAGCATATCCATAGAACTGGGTCTAATTCACCAAGAAAACATGCTGATGAGAATGGTGCAGCTAGCAAGCAATCATATCTGAATACCAAATAAGAAGAGTTCAGAGCTGCTCTCATATCTACCAGGCCTCAGGCTATAACAGCTTATTCCCCACGAGTCTATAATCAACACATGCAGCCCAGCAGGCCCAAGCGGCTGCAACAAGCAGAGAACCTTTTCCCCCGGCTCATCAGACATCTGAACTCACAGCTCAAGGAAGAGGAAGTACTCCTTTTTGGTCTCAAAGACATCCACCAGCTGGAGAATATTGGGGTGCTTCACCCTGAGGAGACATGACACAAATAACAAGACAGAGAGAGACAAACATAAAGATATCAAGAATGATTTCAGGAGTCACATAGGGGAAGAGGAATGCATCATTCATTCAGATGGAGGAATAATGTAAAGATCTGCTACGATGCTCATTAATAACACATGAATGCAAGGGAGTAACTGTGGAATTAGCAGGATACATTTTAACGCAATCTGTTAACTTCACTTCTCAACACTGAGAGCTTCCTGTCCAACTGTCGATACCACAGATAAACAGATTTATGTAATCTGATGCATCCATCTGGGAAGAAAAAAGACCATGCAGCAGCGTGGTGCTGAGCATCTGACCATGCCTTCTTCAACCACAGCGCCAGATGGGAAACTTAATGGTGATTTGAGCCCATTAGGCAGCATCTTTTGGGACAGCAGGTTGTTGCTCTGGCCAGTAAAGTTTGCAATACAGTCAAGCTGCCTTCAGTCATACTAAATAAAGAACAGGGTCGATAGAGCTGTTCCTCATTAATGTCATCACTCACAGGTGTAATGTTGAATAACTGTAAACTTTGTTATAATAGGAGCCAAGGAAAAACACTACACTATGGAGAAAAATTATAGTGAGTCTTTTGGACAATTTCCATTTTCCTTGTGGGGGTTTTCTGATAACAATACTTCAAGTCTGAGTTCAAAATGTGGGCAAAAAAAAAATTGGTGGCCATTGAATGAATTCCAAATAAGTGAAGCCAGTGGGAGAGATTCTCAATATAAAGTATGGCTTACTGCAGCTATTTCGAGACAGTGATATCGTTCTTCTTTACATGAATCACTGGATAATCTTAAAAAAGAATTCTTCAACAGCATAAAGATATGGTAGACAAGTATTTATTTTGCAATTTCCTGGGTGTTTGCACAAAACACTCTTTGGTACAATATATGCTTTCAGAGATGTGGTCAGTTTATGGCAGGGCACACCAAATCAAAAAAAGGTATATTTCCCAATGTTAGAAGACACCCTCAAGACATATTTAAGAAAAATAAGTTTAAAGGATTGGAAAAATGTCGACACTTAAATGGACTATGGACTAATGGACTAAATATTGTCTATCGCCTCTCTGCATGAAATCGGTTTGCCAGCAATTATTCCTATCCTTTGAAAATGTCATCATGTTTGACTGAGTCGAGGGCGCTTTTTATCCGGTGAGTTAGATCATCACAGATATGGTATGAATATGTTTCAGATGAACAAAACTAGGAAAACAGGCTGTGATTGACCTGAGTTGTTTAAACAAAACAAGCAACAAGATTGTCTGTGCGCTTTTTTTTTTTTATTGTTGGTGTCTATTCTAAGTACTTAAGAATATGAAACAGGGTTAAAAACAAACTTCTCATCTGAATATCATTCATCAGTTAGTGCAAAACTTACATCTTTAAGATTAGGATCTCGTTTTTGGCAGCCTTGCGCACTTTCCTTCCATCCTTTTTCAGGAACTTTTTACAAGTGTACATTTTCATTGTCGTTTTGTCCTTGGCCCTGAATATCTCACAGAACTCCTCCCTGGAAAGAATCATATTACAGCAATTGATATCAACATGAATCAAAAGCTTGACAAAATAAATAAAGTCTTTGTTGATGATGCTTGTACTACTAAAGAAGCTGTGAAGATACTTACGATTTAACAATTTGACCCAGGTCATATTTATCTGTGACATCCGAAGGATTGCTATAATCCTTCTTTTCTCCAATTGTTATACAGCCAAATGGCATGGCCGCTCCTGACCTGTGGTAAGAGAACAAAATGAGAGACAGATGAGTGAGATAAATTACAAATGAAGAAACAAGAGAACATTTTGGCAAGATGTAATAGGGCATGTTTGGCATCCCGCCTTCATGATGATCTCTCTTCAATTTGGCATCACACTGTGCCTTAATGTTACACTGGATGATGACTAGGCTAAAATGTGTCCCTCCCCCAGTCATAAACAATTACTCCAATAATGCTGAGGAAGCCTTTCAAAAGCAGGAAGGCTAAAGAGCCACCAGAGGATCTATGATGTAGTGGACTGTTTCACTAATACTGAAACAGAGCCTTTCATGTGCCTGCTTTAATAATTGGCAGAGCCATAGAGGGATCTGCTGCACAGGCTCAGCTTTATGCTAATACAGTATTCTAGCTTATATAAGTATAAAACAGCTAGGGTAATGTTTTTGCCATGATGCATAGGTCTGGACTAAACTCACTGTGGAGTGAAAGTTGCAGACCATTGGGGTCAGAGAGTAGAAGGGGCAGATGCTTATATGGTCCCAGCTCAGTGAGACAAGAGAAGCATTCTCAATCAGAAAAAGTGAACCAGCAATTATATCTACAGCACCCCAAGACTCAGAGAGGAATTAAAGTACTTAAGCTCTGCATCAACACTTGAACACCCTAATTGCTGTGCAGCCTCTCTGTGCCTCTCTAAGACAGAAAGGACTTTTTTTTTTTTACAGAGACTCTAATGTTGTAGTCTGCGTTGTTGGGTTTATTTTTGTAACTCAGAGGAAAAAGAGGATTTTTTTATTTTTTCCCCAATACCGTACTGTACAGTCAGGCGACCAAAAAGAAGAAGGAAATTGGAAGGTTTGGGATTGTTCATAAAACATTCATGTTCCCCAGCAGTCAGTCGAGAGAACACAGTTATTTTGTGTGGATGTTTGGGTAGTGTGTGTGTGTGTGTGTGTGTGAGAGAGAGAAAGAGAGAGAGAGAGAGAGAGAGAGATCTTTGTATGAAACAGAAATGTAAGCGTTGAAATATAAATATCTGAGAGTTCTCTTTCTAAATCTGTAATTCAGGAATTACAGGATAGTATACACTAAGTGTCTTAACTTCAGAAGCTATAGACTAGCACTGCTCATTATGCACCTGCAGCATTCATAGGGCACAGGCAGTATCAGAGAGCACAGGTGCTGAGCTGCTGAATGTAGACATACTTACAGCTAAACAGCATTTTCCAGCATCGGATAAGTAGTTCATTTATTTTTTCCCAAAATTATGCAACCTTTTGAATATCTTTTTTTTCTTTGCTAATGTAATGAAAGATAATGATTCATCTATTCATGTTTTCTTGTAGATGACAGAACTCAGACATTTCTGGAATATTATGTAACTGCACAGATTCTACCCATCGTCTGGTTCAGGATAGAATCAATCAAGTGTCTGTTTGACGCTATAGAGCAGACAGAAAGAGGGACTGACAGCCAACCTGAGTAGTTGCCAGGCAACCAGTGGTGAGTTTAGGTAGCTCCCATGCAAGAAAAACATAGTAAATATCCAATGCAACATTGAATTTTTAATTCAAATTCAGGTTTTTCTATACATAAAAAAAAAGACACAAGATTTTGTTTTGCAAGCTCTAAGTTGTGTTTTTTACCTTTAGAAAGAGACAGGAGCTATGTCTGTCTCCAGTATTTCCAGTATAGAAACAATGAGAGTGAGATTGATCTTCTCATAAAGCTCGATCAGCAAAAGTTAAAGAACACTTTCCCAAAACTTGAACCATTGCTGTGAGTAATTCAAAGAAAACCAGCGTCAGAAGACAATGCCTGAAACATTTCTAATTAACATTAACTGGAATTGCGATGAAGGAGGCTAAATTTAGAGTGGCCTGGCCCGTCATCGCATTAATGCAAAAAATCATGACGATGTATGTTTATCAAGGAAGTAGTCCTCCTCTTTGATTTGCAATAGGCCTACTGCCCTCAATGGATTTATGCTTCCATTAATGTTGAATCATTGATTTTGATATAAATCTTGATACAAACATTTTTTTTTTTTTTTAAAGGCAATTGGATCCAAATTTTTTTTTAATTGTTCACCATGGAAATATCTCACAAAAGACAGAAATAGTAAGTGGGATCAGACAAGAACATATCTGGTAAAGGGGCTGCTGATAGCCTAGCTGTTACAGTTTGTCATGTACAAAGGCTAATAGTCCTCATCGCAGCAGTCGTGGGTTTGGATCTGACCTCGGCCCTTTGCTGCATGTCACCCCTTTACTCTCTCCTCCCAAAATGTCCTGTCTCTCTTCAGTTTTCCTATCAAATAAAGGCAAAAGGCCCTAACAAAAATTCCTAAACAATTTTTAATCTGCAAAGACAAAAATATTACCTCTCTCAATAATTAAAACTAATTAATAAGGCATATTAGCCTATTTGGAGGCTTACAGAACAACCTAACCAACCTCTTGTGAACAGTTGTGGATATTCTGTATGTTAAGCTTCTTGACTTTTAAAAAGGTGGCGTGCTGTAAAATGATGATGCAGCAAAAAATTCTTCAGATGACTTGAAAAAAGAAAATATTTATATTCCCAGCCACACCAGATCCATCTGTGCTGACGGCCTGGGTGATAAATATCCACATGTAAATGAGTGCAACCAGCATGATGCGTAAAGCGTTATGTGTAAGAAGGGCAATCTGTTTGCTGAAGCTCTGCGAACTGACTCGTAATCTAATTTGAGAGACATTTCAAATAGCTGCGAGAAAACTGTGCACTCTCTGAACTTCCATTTCTCACCCGAGACCCGAGTATAAGCTATAGTGTGTAGTCAGCGAGAGGGGCTGACCTTTTCTGGCTCCCTAGCTCTTACCCTCAATATACTCTACATGTCTCTCTGTGGTAAATGCTTTGACTCGGTGAAGTTCTGCTGCAAAGAAGAAAAGAGAGTTCCGCAGGGCCAGTGGCTTAAATAGAGTTTACTCTGAGCAGATCTGACAGAAAAAAGGAAGTAGTAATCATTCAAGGAGAAAATCTTTATTATGCTACTGTAGCAAACATTTTTGATTTGGAGACAGCTACAACAGTTGTAAAGGGTTGCTGTGATTTGTGAGTGAAGAAGAAGACTGGAGGAAAAGTGAGTTAAAGCAATTTGGATGATGATTCAAGCTGGTAAGTAGTTAATAAGTAAACACTTTGTTGTTGTGCAAACACTTTGCAAAAGTGTGCAGTGGAGCAATATTCCAAAGGCAGATTTATGCAGCAAAACCAAAAGTATGTTCCTAAAAAGTCTCAGTCGGCCTCTCTCATTTCATAAAAAGTAGGACTTACTGTGATGGATGAGTATTTGTGAAGCAATTCAAGTGGAAAGAGCATGATGCGGCTTATATCATATAACAGAGACTGGATAATGGGCCCATTTGGACTGCCCACCATCAGCAACATTCAGGCATTATCCCTACATATTCTGAGTGTTATCTGCCCTGCAGGAGCACCGATCAATGGCTCGTGATGCTTTATGGCCTAATATGTTGGTCTCCAGCTTGGATTTTCTGCAGAAAAGATGTAAAAGAAAGAAGATGGATGGATCATATTAAAGATCGTGGGCTTATTAGGGGGCAGAGCACCTCCTCTCACTGGAGGAGCGAATAAGTAAGTCAGGTTTTTCTTGTTGCCTATTGAAATCAATGAGAATCAAACTGAATTCATCGCTTTTGTGCAGTGTTAAAAACACAGCATAATAACATTGAGGAACATTAGACAAATGGCTGTTTGGGATAAGCCTGTGTATGTGAGTAAGTTTGCACTATATTCCACAAGTTAATTCTTGAGAGATAAAAGCGTTTTTTATTTTTTTGGGGAAATCCTTTGCTATTTAGTTTAACTCTGTCCTTTTTCAACCCTTCCCTACTTACACTCCCTCTGGCTCAGCAGCATCTTAATGAGGATGCACAGTAAAGATCAGACCCCATGCATCACACTTGTGCTGACTGTAGGCCATTACAGATTTACTGAAGGGAAACTAAGCAGTGCTGACTCTCAACAGTTAGGTACAAACTATATTTTATACAGACCACAATCCCTTGAGCCAGATAAGAAATATGATCATATTTAAAAAAAATGCTGCATTAATTACTTTTCATTTTTGATGGATGAACAGTTCTCCCTTCACAATTCTTATCCCAAGTGTTGTGTAAATGAAGACATCAGATTACATACTGATTCGCTTTGCTGAATACCTCTTTGAAATAACATAATGCCTGTCTCAGGAAATGTTTACACAAGAACGATATTCTGAAAACAGGTTGGTTTTTCATTTAAAGAAAAGAGCTTGTATAACACCTTTCTATTCATCTGACTAGTCAAAGCACTTTTACACTGCATGTCACACACTGATGGCAGAGGTTCTGGTATCTTAAGTGACCATCAGAAGTAACTCATCGCATTCATACATATTCACACGCCGCCGACTAAGCAGGAGCTATTCAGGGTTTAGTGTCTTGCCCCAGGACACATATAATACAGGAGCTGGGAATCGAACCTTCCAGTTGAGAGACGACTGACTACCAACTGAGCCACAGCTGCCCCTAAGTGTTCACACAACAACGTTTTGATAACAACTGCCATGCACAGTTGCGCAAAAACATCTAAAAATGCTCTTCATGCCAGACTTTGTTATGAAACGACACGTGCATGCTTGTCCTTCAACACACTCGTCCTTCAACAGAGCAGTGCGGGATAAACATACAAAAACAGGTAACGCATGAATATTTGTGAGGACGGACAATGTTGTGAGGATGTTACACTAAGTCACACTAAACTACAAAGAGAATTTCAAATAAATGTCAACTGGGAGTGAGTGGCACAAACAGAACTCTGGAGTAAGCCATTGTTGTCCACTAAGGCATGGCTATTGACTCGAAGCGTAAGGCTGCTGTTTCAAGGAGGAACAAAATTGGAGCAGTCTACACTGCGACTGAATCGGTGCTGTTTTCTTAGTCAAAATGCAACAAAAGGTTGCCATT